GCGAAAAAGGAACGGGGTTGGTGGCAGCCGGTGAGTGAAACTCTGCAAAGGCTGGGAGAAATGGCTCCATGCTGAGCCAGACCCCTCACGGATCAGGCACAGCCATGGTGGGTGTGACAGGCCCGGGGTCCCCTCACAGACAGGGTACGGCCATGGAGGGTGTGACAGACCCAGTGTCTTCACAGACCAGTAGTGCCATGGTGTGTGCAATGGCCCTGGTGTTCCCTCACAGACCAGCAGGCCATGGTGGGTGTGACAGCCCCAGTGTCCTCTCCTGAACCAGGCTGTGTGAGGAGACGCAGATGTCCTCCCACACCGGGGAAGCATGGCTCATGTTTGGGCTGAATATCTCCCCATGGACTGGGGCTGAGTGAGGGTTTCACACCTCGGCCTTTCCTCAGGCCCTCACAAATGGCAGTCATTACTATTTGGGGAAAAAAATGTACAGTTACTGAGATTCACTGAAATAGTAAAATAATCACCAGTTGAGTTGTAACACTAAAAAAAAAGGATAATATTCAATTTCTTTAGGTGCTGCGCCATCTGCCTATCCACTAAAAATTTAAACCCCACAGATTTTGTCAGCCATTTGAAAGTAGCTTTGCTAAATACAGCTTTATGATCATCCTGACTATGCAGAACCAAACTAAAACAATGCCTTACCCATCTGGAAGTCTTCCCAGCAAAATGAGGTTTCTGAAAGTTGCCTATGTGAGGCAGGGGGAAGGGAGAGCTTCAGTTTGAAAAAAACCCAAAGCCAACACTAACTTTGTCCTAAATGCCTATCGTACTATTCTGTCTGTAAGAGAAAGCAGCGTGTAGGAGTATTGCACTCACTTAGTAAAGGCAAATCATCCTGATGCTTTCTGCTGCTGTTCATTATCTGTCGGATTCCTCAGGTGTGTCTGGGATTTGCATTTAGGTATCAGAAAAACTGTCCATTACTGGGGCTTCTACCCACCGCAAGGGTAAATGTTATGTGCATATGTTTAGAAAGTCATCCAACTTGAAGCACAGTAAAAAAAAAAAAAAAAAAAGGCTAATCCCAAGGGGA